TAATATGAACCTGCTGCAATGCGTAGAACTGGCTAGTCCTTCTTTCCACCTGGACATTGCTGTTTTACGCTTCGACAACCACGAATTTAAATTTGACTGCCAAGCGGTCTCATCCTCATCACTATGCTAAAATCAAAGGAATTAGTCCACGAACCGGAAGTTTCAAGATTCGATTCGTGACGTTTCGGATCACGCTTAACTTGATTCTTCGCGCATGTTGTATTCACCACCCTCGATGAAGCTGGTGTTATGAAAGAAGTTGTGCCACGGCGCCAGTAAAAACACAAAAGTTTATTCTTACTAACGAAAAATAATGACCTATAGCGGTCGGTGGCACAGGTCGCGTCGCAAAGCCACAAAACGGGGAAGAACCAGGTAAGCTACCTCATGCCGTTACCTTAGTGATCCAACTATTCGTGTGGTCCCCTGCACTAAGTTTCACGGCCTCCTTTTTTTGTAGTTCTCAAGTTATCAGTTTTAACGCCAAATCTTTCACGTGGTCGTACTTAAGATCTAGTTACAGGCAAGCGCTGAATTTAGGTTTAAGAAATCACATGTGAGTAGGGAAAACACTAAAACATAGCCAACAAAAGTTCACGTGTTGCACTGTAATACAGGACCATTTATGCTGTTAACGATCTGACTGCAAAAATTCACAACCGCACCGGTAAGCCTGGTGTACTGGAGTGAAGGAAAATAAAATGCCTACCATATTTTTACGCAGTTCTTCGCGGATCCGCTTCTGCTGCTCAGTAATGAGAAGTTGCTGTTTGGCTTGTTCGCTTAATGCAGTTGCCGCCGAGTGTGCTGCCACGAATTGCAACGGATTATGTGCGACCTGTATGAAAAAATAAACAGATTCTTGCACCAGGGTTGCCAGTGTAACCATGTATTTTTGCACCATTTCATGCAGCAATAAGATCGCATTCAAGCCCGCTACAGTCAGTTCTCGTTTTGCGCTTCCTAGCTTTTCTGGTTGCTGAGTTGAAAATGAGGCAAAAAATCCAAATACACATATGCAACGACAAAGGCGCGTTTTTTTATGGCATTTGCTCAACGATGCAGAAAAGCATAGAGACTGAGTCATTCCCCAGAGTATTCAGACTACTGCAGCACTTAGAGTGCTGTTACGCAAGATTATAACGCCACCTGGGCATTAAAACTGGTGAGAGGATTCAATGTTTGTAATGTTTGTGGAATGCACCCAGATGCCAAGCACAGATATACTAGCCTCAGCTGCCCACTCTCACTTAGTATCCACTGTTCTTTATGGGTCACTATTTTAGAGGCCGCCGCATGATTGTTCACGTCTTTGTGGGCACCATGCTCAATGATGCTCTGTGTCCACTAATCGGTTAAAATGGGAAATGAAAAAAAGAAAGTATTCCCTGACCGCCGCAGTTACCCCATTTGGGAGGACTACTTCTTTAGAATTCAGTTGCTACTGAGATGGGCGTATAAGCCAAATCCTGACGCCAAGCTGCTTGTCTTTATATTGCCGGTTGCAGTATGTTTGGGCGCCCTGTCTTTGAGAAAGTTCTTTTTATTACTTAAGATTCTTACTTGTTATTACTTAAAACTCAAGGTGTTTTACCTCCTCCATAATTCACTCTCTGTGAGTAACAGAGGCATTCAAAAGTAGCCTAAGCGCTAACACCTGTCTGACGCAGTTATCCGCTACCAAAATTGGTCAGTAGATTCTCTTTTTGGAACTGCTTGCAAGGAAGCTGCTGGTGGCCTTAACTCCCTGGTCAGTTTATCATAGAAACGGAAGAATAGATCGTACAAAGATTGGTTTTACTATGGACGCGGCAAAAACTTCGGCCTATAACACAGAGCTTATGCGCTGATCGTCAGCGGCCTCATAATGCTGCACGAAAATTTCGCGCTTTCAATTTATACTTTGGAATCATAATGGTCACTTCGGATAAATGCAATATCCACAAATAAGACTTTTGACCTTTCATTAAATGGTAACCATGATGTAACAGTAATTTTTTACCGGGATATTCCAGGCTACAGAGTTTAAGACGCTCAAAGAGAGATAAGACAGCAAGATGGGCATGTTTTGGAATGTTGAATTATGAAAGCTTAAGGCTATTGACTGTTTCATCCCCTTCCACCGCTTCGGGTACTTATCCAAACAATCTGATGTTTACATACACTTTGATCGGCAAACCCAAAATATTATTTGCGGACACACAGATGGCATTTTAAGCTAAAAGTACTAATGATGGACTAACCGAAGCAAAACGAACATTCTTTTTGTTATGCAAACTCACGATTAAGTTAGCTGTGAAAAAGAATTCAAATGACTGATAATCAATACAGCTTCAGGCAAATTTTCATGAAAAATTGAAAAAATACGTTTTCATTCGGAAACAAGCTTGGACAATCAGTCCCTCCGCGTTTCGTTCATTTATTTCATTAGTAAATTGCCACTGGCATATGCCAGGAAATCAAACTCCTCATGAGATTTCTTGTAAGAATCCCTCGAATGAGGTAGCCCAGAATTTCAAATTTTTTACAAAAACTAGATTTACCTGAGGTGTAAGCCTCAGCTGCTGCCTAGTCGGTATCAGACGGTCACCGGTTGCCGAACTACGTTCACTCGTATACGGAGAATCGCTGCGGCTGCCATTAGTTCCTGCCGAATAGCTGTAAAAAACCCAAAAATTTAAGTTTTTAAATTGGGATTTCCGACAATTTTATTTTATGCATCGCTCTGGGTTTCTTTTTCTGCAGATTTGGGGGAAACAACAGCTTTTCCAGCTAATCGCAGTTTTGCCATTTATTATATTTTACCAACAGAAAGAATGCAGCCCAGGGCTTGCTATAGCTGTTCCTGGCGTTAGGAGCATCTCAGTAAAATCACTAGCATGGGTTACTAAGGCAGATTGCTCAGGCGACCTTTAATATTTGTAGTATTATAGTTTACTTTCATGGGCTGCTGATAATCATTTATCAAAAAGTGCTGATGGAAGTGTTTTTGTAAAATATCCGACATGAAAAAATTGCTAAAAACATTTTCATCATGAAAACCGCTAAAAATTTCTTTTTCTCGACAAAATTTTTTAAAAAAGCTTCCACAGTGCAAAGTCTGCGATCTTCGCTTTCATTTTTACTGATACAAATCGGTAGTTGCAAAAAATTTTTAGGCGAAGCTTCTTCGCTACGAGGAAAGTAGCTCCTTTACAAAGCGATTTAAAAGCTTTTTTCCTTGCTCGAAAATGAACCTTACTTACATTCAAGTTTGAAATCGAGCAGATTCCATGGCTCAAGAATAAAAAAAAGTTGCAAGCCTAAAATCCTGTGAAAAAATTATTCACTTTTTATAGTGTTTTAGCCTGACTTTTATGCGTTTTGCGCCCTGACCTTAAGTCCAAATCTAGCCAACTAAGGCTATGCTTATGTGCCCGTATGTAGTAGCGAAACTTTTTGCGCAGCGATTTTAAACATCACAAAAATCTGGAAGCTAATGTTTCGGAGCAAAATTACGAGTTACGCACGGATCTTGAAGTGTTAATTTTAACGTTCTCCTGAGTTTCGAAAGATTTCGTTTCACTGCTTAAAGCCAAATCAACACAACCCAGCTTGGATATTTTATCTTAGTCTTTATTGCGGTTAAGCTGTATTTTGTCGTATGACGAATTGAGCGCGGAAACACCATAGGAATATGAAAAGAACTGAATTTTTTCGCAATTATCTAAGAGGCCTGTAGCGGATTATAGCAAAAACGCATCATTAACCGTGCTGAACTTCTAAAGCACGACGCTAGTTATTAGTCCGTAAATTCGTTTTTACATAATTACAGCTTAATCCACAGTGCCAATGAACACAGTTTTTGTGAAATTACACAAGTGCTATGAGGTAAAAACGAAGAATGGAGAAGTTGCCCCATGCACTGACTGCACGATGAGAAATGGTGGTGGCTCAATGATGTATCAAAAAAAAAATCCATTTTAATTGAGCTCACCTGCTCAGTTCTTCGGTGGAATATTCGCTGCTCAAGTCAGCCAAGTATTTTTTCATTGTGTAATTATAATCCATTATTGTGCCCACGCCCTGCAAAATAGCAACGATTCTCTAACCATGCAGCCCTCCAGAATCAGACATTTTATTAGTCCGAGTGAAAAGACCTGAAGAACGGTCAATCCAGACGAGTTACGGATTTGTGCACGAGACTCACTTCAAGAATTCCGACCAGTAAAATTGTGCAGACATTCGCTGTGGGAATATTGTCATAAAAATGTTATTAAGACGTGCCGCATAACCATATTCTCAAAAATTTAATGAAATAAATAATATTTTTTGATGAATTTGGTGCATTTTCTACGACAGCTAGAAGATTCTGAAGAAAAAAATTTGGAAGAGAACCTCATCACTGCTCGGCGTATTCAGATGCATGCGATTGTTGATTTCATCGGCATAACTGCAGAACATCATCATTTTAATACGACAAAAAAAAAGAAAATTTCAAGCAGAAGAATAAAACGCACTAGGCTTCCCAGTGCAGCCATACGTTTTGCGTCAAACAGGCAACAATTAGTTCGTCAACAGCAGAAATGTTTTCTGTGTTGTGGTTTTATAAGTAGATTTATGTTAGTTTTGGTCTTTTCCTGCATACAGGAAAGGAAAGGACGTCGACTGGGATGGTAGTTATGCATAATGGAGCCGCATGAAGTTCCAGCGTTTAAGATTATCAATTTT